TTATATTTTAATATTAAAATTTAATTCTATTTATCATTATTCTAATTAAAAATTACCGTGATTTCAATAAGTTAGTTGAATCTTGCAATTTCTTGCGGCTCGGGACAATATTATTTGTAGGGCCCATATTTTTGAAATTCATCTAAAGCAAAGCGCGTCTTGATGAAATCAACGGCTTTATTGTACTCCTATATTCTGTCTATGCAATGACCAACATAACCCTATTGAAGAAAAACAAATCAATTTTATAGGTACCATGAAATTAAAAAATCTATGACCAAGAAAAAAAACTTGTGAAATTAGATGGAAAACACCAGGAGGTAAGAGACTTGCATATCTTGTCTTTTTTCCATTTTCAGGGTCAATAATTGAAGGCAATGGGGTCTTCAGCAATTGTCACTCCTTTTCATTGCAGATGGGACCTCCAATTCCAAATAAAGGGAGATAATTCTACTTGCTAAGTGAGAATACAAGAAAATAGTAGATAGAGAAACAAAAAAGGCCAAAAAAAGTAAAGAAGCAGGCACCTTCGCAGCTTCGCTTTTCTTCCAGGGAAAAAAATTAGAGCCCAGATATGAACATGGGGATGCCTAGTGTGCCTGTATACCCACACCGTTTTATTTTTATTTTTTGATCAAGGGCAATTTTTTAGGGAGGGGGATTGAACCAACCCATAAGATTAAGTGATACACACAATTATCAATCGACCTATAAAGTCAAGTGTATCCCACACCGTTTTATTGGGAAGTTTCGAGCTGTAAAACAACTTGCAACAAGAGACAAAACTCGAAGAAATTTTAGGGGTTAATTAATTAAAAAATTTGATAGGACTAAATGAATAATAACCCATTATATTTTGATGATTCTGAAAATTTTTAAAAATTCCGTCCCTCTATAGATTTTGGGTACAATGACAGTAAGGGCGCTCATTGAATTTTGATGGAATGGCCCTATACTTAGTGACACCTGACATATTAGATGTCATCAATGAAACGATATTAGTTGGTGGTTCCTTAAAGACGTACATTCCTCTATTGATATTATCGATATTTAAATAATATTGAAGTTAAAATTAATTATTAAAAA